TTTTGGTTGTGCCATCTCTCTTAGAGGGTTTGGTTTCCTTTCTTGCGCCATCTCTCTTAGAGGGTTTGGTTTTCCCCTCCTTGCGCCACCTCTCGTAGAGGGTGTGGTTTCCGTTCCTTGCGCCATCTCTCTTAGAGGGTTTGGTTTTGGTTGTGCCATCTCTCTTAGAGGGTTTGGTTTCCTTTCTTGCGCCATCTCTCCTAGAGGGTTTGGTTTTGGTTGTGCTAGCTCTCGTAGAGGGTCTGGTTTTCTCTTCCTTTTATAAATATTGGTTTCTCCAAGCTGCGCCGTCTATTTTATATATATTATTTTCTCCCACTTGCATCATCTCTCTTATATATATTAGTTTCTACAAGATGCACCATCCCTCTTATATATATTGGTTTTTCCAAATTACGCGTTCGGTTTCCTCGTATGGGACCGCATTTTCGAGTGCTTTCTTTTCTTGTTTGACCTTTTTTCATATGCCGGCTCTTTTATGCATGTTCTAAAATTCTGTTACTGCTTAGAGCCTTATTCTCGCCATGAAAGAGTTCCTTCAGCATGCGCAGAGCGGCCTGCTTTTTTAATAGAACCAGCCTTCTCATCAGTGTCAAGTTAAATTTCTATATGTATCTCCTCCAGCGTTTTAGCGTACTCTAATCTCCTCAAGACAAGCAATCTACTGACAAGATAAAGAACAGAAATTCCCATGAAATCCAGCACTCTTAGGTTGAGTCGCAACCCACTGTATCCAGTATTTACAGCAAGGTCAAAGCTAAATCGCCCTGTGAGATTACCAGGAGTGTATCCTCTGGTACACACAGTTTAGCGACTAGCTGCAATGATATAGGAAGTCGTCATCGGTTTTTTGCGTTTTCGAAGAAGTGTCGTACTATGAATAGCTTCAATATCGTTTGTATTCAGGGCTTATACTGTACTTGAGAGATATAGATTCTAGCATGAAGCTACAGTATGAATATGGATTCAAAAGACAACCATTTATTTAGTTTTCGCAAGTAATACTGCAATCACACTTGAATCAACCCAAGGGCTTTCCCCAGGAAGATTCTACACCACTGCAAAAAGCCTGCTTGACAAGATATCACCTGAAGACCGTCGGAACTATGTGGAGTATGTACCTATGCTGAGTCCTTGGCAACGTCCGGGTTAGTCTTATCCTTGAATTTGATAGGTTTAAAATTGAGGTCCTCCCGGAACCGGGCTGCCCACTGTTCCCACTAAACCTTATGATCACAGCAATCCACTCCTCTGTAGTCACTGGTTACTACTTGCATAAAATAATGATAGAATGCTTCTGTCTCTGCCCTTTTGCAAGTATTATCAAAACCAATTCTGGTGCATTTTGAATTTATCTGTTGCACTTGGAAACTTCCTGTGGCTTAACAAAATTTCAAAGAACCATCAGTTAAAGCAGATGTATTTGGCAGGAGCCTGAACTACTGGGAAGACAATGAAGAAGGACTTCCATCCAGCAGTCCTCACATAATGTGGGGCTCAAAAGAATCATGACACTTGCTCAGTCCATTATAGGTAACACTATTAATTACAAGTTAGTTCAAATAAGCTGGACTGTATCCAGGGTGTCATTTATCGACCAACTATCTCGGAAGTTTTGATTCATCTGGCCAAGCACCTACGGTGGTCTCCAGCCGCCAGCGATCAACATGCTACAATATCAGAACTACCGCCGTTGTATACTCCTTAGAGAGCCTCGTTTATTCATTAAGATGCAGGAGACTGAGCTCTGTTATCGAGCTGCAAATCCATTTACGGTAAGAAATAAAACGAAGCGTTTGCATTGCGGAATATCATACCGCCATGATTGTACATACGTCGCCTAGACTGAGGAGCATCGTCCGGACGCCTTTTTAGGCTAGTGGTGTTAAATTCCTATAGCCATACTCTCTGCGATCGTCCGTTGATGAGGAGCCCATTGACCCGAGACCGGTCTCACCTAGGTCATCCTTTTCAACCTTTATCAGGCCAAGCGAATGTAAGGTCGACCACTTGTCGATGCTAGCTTATCAAGATCTACCTAGCGTCTTATTAGAAACTGGGAGTTTTAATCTCACAACCGCTTGCGCCAGCACTTACAGAGACGATTCTTTTTCTTATCGGATCGCTTGGCGGATCCATGCTACCATCTCGACTCCCATTTGCATCAGGTTTTCCATCGTTCTTCCGCAATTTCGCAATATGAACGATTTCACTTCAACAATGGCGAAGATCTGACCGTCCCTCGGCGCCTCTAGTCTAGACAAGCGGCCATCCGTCTTTGCTACAATCCTAGCATTTCCCATCGTGACGGTCACATTTTGTCTATCCGGATCCCAACGCAGTCTCCTTGCTTTCTTGCAGTCATAGCTCAACACCTCGAGGAAACCTACAAGAGCCATATTCGCGGTTTCCTCGTCACTTCTTCCAGCAAACAGGTGTTTCGCTGAGTCGGGATGCGCCGCAGAGACGTCGGATAGTCTGCCAGCCGTGGTATAAATAGTTTGACTCCGCGCCTCATGCGCGAAATCAGGATCATGGATAGGGTCGCTGCTCTGTGTTTCAGCGTCGGCCATAGTTTTGACCGCTGGTGAGTTTTCTACCGTTGCCATTGGAGGTCCGTCTTTCTTTGACTTTGCTCTTGTCCTTGACGATGTATTACCCTTTGGCGGGTCCGTCGGTGTTTCGTTTCTGATGTGGAGCTGAAACGACGAGTTGAGGAAAACTTGCCGACGCCTATCTCCTTGTCATTGTCCGCGGCAGCGATCTTCTTAATATCGCGTAGATATGCCTTCCATTGCTCATCGTCTTTCAGGCTCCTTTGTATCCTTATCTGCTTCCTCATTCGACGCTTGTTGAGCTATGGCAAGTCGCAAGCGAAGAGTGTCCTCAAATGGTATAGAGTCGGGGATTGACATCAAGTCGAAGTGTTCTGATAATCCCGGTAAGCTGTCTGTACGAGGAATGCCAGGTCGCAGTCGAATGGTCCGTCCTGATGGATCCGTGGGCACTCACCTAGGCTTTTGAGTATACCAGAGGAACCAAAAAAACCTCAAAGCTGACGGGAGGCGCAGAGCTACTGGGAGATCCGCCTCTCTAAGAGAGATGGGCTGTGTCATCAAGACCTCGAAGGGAACCGGCCAAAAGGGCATAGAGGAAGGTCGTGATGAGCGAAATGTCGGAAAGGTAGAGAAACGTACAGTCGGAGTACAAAAGCAAATACAGTAGAGGCGGTTTTGCAAATCAATTGAAGGGAATTCCCAAGGCTGTATACACGAAAGGCTCACCAAGAGCGCCTTCCATTCTCAGAAATGCACTGCAGAGCTCTGTTCTGGGTAGGAGGTAGTGCCAAATACTCTTTACAGCAGAAAGAGAGAGGTGCGACCACTCCAACTACGGTGAATGGCATCAATTTGTATCATAGATCAAGTCATTGTAGATCTTACACATAACTGAGGATCTGATGATTTATTCACTGTCTCTTCATGTAATGGTCATTTCAGGGACACTAAACATATATAAAGCGTCTGTTATTCACTCCTTTAATGAGGCCCAGTCCCACAGTGTTGTCCGGCGCCAGTACCTTTTGAAGTTGAGTGATACTCCCCCTTTCAAGACAGTGATTGTGCAGCTGTACCTCACATAGTTTGGAAGCTGACACATACTCATGGTCTCAGTTGGGTTCAGTGATGCTTCCAGGGATCAATCATAATCCTACCAAAGTGGTCTCGGGCTAGTCTCACAGAATTACCCTTTTAATGACTACGAAACGTTTAAAGACTATGCTCAATACTTGTGATCACTGGGATCTAAATATCATCAGAACTTGACGTTAAAGCCGGTCACGTGCCAACTATACCCCTGGCAACCTCTCAGCCCTAATTTAAGCTGAAGGTATGGCTGTCATATGAAAAGCTGGGATTCTGTTCGAAAAGCATTTATTTTTCAAGACGGTGGCTCCTCAGCAACTGTCCAATGACGAGCTGAGATTGTTCGTTTGTAAACATTGACATAGATGTCCGAGTTGTTGACTACGAGGCAACCGTTGATAGATTATATATTCAAATGCAGATGGCTGTTCACAACCCGCTGGCGAACAGAACAAGGCACAACAACAACTATTAGTCATGAGCGACTACAACTACTTTAACTTCTGACAGGAATCCGCAGTACCTCAAATGGTATCTAAAGTAAGGTAGAGTGGGTCACTGGAAGGGCATCTCGTATCGAGTGAGTCACCCCACCACTGGTACCAAGGTAGGATAAATTATCTCGTTATCCTCTGTTTTTTGCCAATCTCGGTTCCTTTCTGACATTTTCAGATCATTCTAGTTAGATCAGAAGCAGAAAGTCAAGCAATGGCGGCAAATCAAGAACAAGCAGACTATCACCTCATTGGGCTCTTCACCCGATATTCAAGTACGTACGCCGTCGCGCGTCTCCAGTTGTACAGCCAATTGCTAAGCTATCATTTCAGGTTGGACTGCTCGCGTCGAAATAGTCCTGGAGTATTTCCAAATTCCATATACCGAGCAACAAATCAAAGTTGATGATGTTCGTTATCCCGTTCCTTTAAACATCCAACCATTAACCAGATCCAGATCCGCAAATTCTCCCCCTCTGGGCTCGTCCCCCTGCTCGAATGCCATTCTCTGAGCTCATCGTTGCGCATCAATGACTCACTCGCCATCTGCGAGTTTCTCGCGGAGTCAAATCCCCATCTCAGCCTGTGGCCACGGGACCGCCTCCTCAGAGCCATGGCGCGCAGTGCCGCCGCCGAAATGCACTCTGGTTTCGCGACGCTGCGAAACACATACCCCACGAACTTCGTAGTGCGGTATACGGGCAATATCCCGGTACCTGAGGCCGCAAAGAAAGATATCCAGCGTCTGTTTACGATCTGGGATAATGCGCGACAGGCGGCGAAGTCAAAGCTGGCTGAGTTAGGCGAGAAGGACGACGGGTTCCTGTTTGGGGGGTTCAGTATTGCGGATGCGTTCTTCTGGCCGGTACTCTGGGTATGTTTCACCTTGCTTGTTTATTGTCTCTATTCATGAGAGGTTGAACCAGTGGCTAATTTATTGCTCGACAGCGCTTCCGCACGTACAATCTCCCTCTAGAGGGCGCCAGCGCTGATGTGGTGAAGTGGATGGAGACGATGTGGAATGATCCTGCTATGCAGAGGCTGGCGCACAAGTATTATCGTCAGGCGGAGCTCCCGGAGACTCATATGGAGCGGTATGAGAATATCTTCCGTGACCGGGATGACATCCAGTATGGAAGGTTTCCGGAGGATTGGAAGTTTACTGTCCCTGGAAGGTCGTGACGACCAACCAGTTCTCTTACCACACAGGATCAGTCTGGCTGATTCAGAATCGTTCATAATGACATAAAGTGGTCTATATATACTGCTCATCTACCATCCTGAGACCGCAGGACATTCTTGAATATGGTATAGTTCGATTCCCCCTTCGTATCCAGCACGGCAAAGACAATCTCCTCGAACACTCCATCCCACTCCGTCTCCTGCAAAACCTCCTTGTAGATCCTGGCAACCTCATACGGCGGATTCCTGAACGCGCCGCAGCCCATCGCCCCAAGCACACAATGCGAGATCCCATTCTCAGCAAGGACCCGGAAAACCTGCCGCATCTTGTTCTTCAAAACCAACGCATCATTCGGATTGGCTGTCACATACGTTAGTCTCACACCCACACCCAAACCCTGCAGAAGCAAAGAAAACATACCAAAATGCCTCCCATCAGCCGTCAACACCGGCCTCCTCAACGCCGCCAAACTCACCACCCCAACAAGAAACTTCTCCGCGTCCCGGTACAGCCGACATCCACTCGCAACCTCATCCCGGAAGACCACCACAGCAGGCGGCCACACAGCCCCATACACCGGCAGCGGGTAGTACTTCTGGTCAAGCGTCGCCGCCAACGTACTCCGCAGACAGAGCGCCTCCTCCTGCGCTAGCGCCCCGTTCAACCAACCCCCGCCGGGATTCCGCTCGCTTGCCATATTGAGGACACCCACCCTGGCTTTGCCGCCTGTGCGCTGCAGGATGTCACGCGCGGCGGTGAAGCTGTCCTGGCTTGTGACGCTGAGCTGGGGTCTCTGGGCTGCGCTGTTGGAGCTGGGTTTGATGGGTGGGAGGAGGTGAGGGTGAGCGCGGGAGGCCTGCGAGGCGCCTGTTGTTGCTTTGATGACGTACTCGGTCAGTGAGAGCGTTTCGGCGGCCAGGCGCTGGCGTTGGGCGTTGTTGGGGGGTTTGGGGGTGGACATTTTGAATGGGAGGCTTCTGTGGTTGTTTGTTGGCGGTCTGGTTGTGTAATTTGTGGACTTATAATTCTTATTGTATTGATGTTGTGAAGACTTATGTGACTTAAATCAGGAGCGAGAGAAGTGACTCAAATGCACGGTTGTGGCGGTGCTGATTGCTAACAGGCAGCTCACGCTTCTATACGAGATGATGTGACTCGTGAGTCAGGGGTGCAAGTTGCCTCAGCAAGCGTGTGTGCACCTCGTGTTGCGCAGATCCGACATGGAACTGTTAAACCAACCGAGGCCGAACAAAATGAACCATTAAATGCGTGCTGCGATGCCTGCGCGTCTGTTACGTGAGAGTTGGGGTTTGCTGCTCTAAGGATGCCTCTAATCTTGGCCGCAAGGTGCGGTTGCCTATATTGGAACTTGCTAGAGCTCAGCTCAGCCCCTGAGGGTAAATGTTCTAGCTGAGTTCATATCAGATCTCCATATACTGCTACAGATGCATGAATCATGACTGAAGCAGTAAAGGACAGATATCCCTTGGCGAAAGACAACCCCACGAGCAGAAAAAATTGGTACATGACCTCGAATATTGCAGCTTCGCTGTACATTATGAGGCAGCTGTACACTGCTGAAAGGGCTAACAAATTTCAACAAATGGCAAGTATAAGGATAAAATGACAAACGCCATGAATTGCTGCAGCTCGACGGTCCTACGCCAGAAACATGCGTCTCAAATCATCTGAACTGAAAAGAAACCGAACCCTTCATTAAAAGTCATAACCCAAAGCGCCGTATCTACTCGTGCGACACGCAATGCCGAGTCCTAGAGAAAAGGTGAAGGAGAAACTATGTCGTGTGGATCGTGTACCGGGCTCGAGGGTTGAGTCGATGCCTAGCAACTCACAAGGTTTATGTGGTTATCATTAAGCGCAGCGCAGGCAAGAATGGTACGATGTGGGTGGAATGCAGTGCTGGCAATTGGGGAAGAGCGGTTGTGGTGCAGGAAGCTTGAGTATGGTTCGAACGTGGACAGATACGTTCCATCCATGTTGAATGTCTTGACCTCATGGCGATTCGTGCCCCTTTTATTCAATCAGTCAGTTGCAGAACTTGTGGGCATCCAGAAGCAAGAAACACATACACCATGAATACGGGAGCGTGCTCGTGAACACTCAATGTCCTGAGGGTATCTTTGGTGGCATAGATCGTCGAGATAGGGTCATCCATGCGAAGATCCCACAATCTGATCTCGCCATTCCGACTGCCGGATACCAACTCCCTCAATCCACCTCGTTGCATGTGAACATTGGTGATCCATTGCTTGTGCTCACGCCAA